ACAACAGTTAAGGTCCAGTCCTTGGGAAATGACATCATGCTGAGAGAAGTGGAAGGTCGGAGAAGAAAAGAAGATCCTCAACACGGTGGATTGATACGGTGACTCCGGCAGTGGGCTCAAGCACGTCTTGCATTGTGAGGATGGCTACGATGGAGCAAAGATTAGATCTGTTATTCATAGGATTGCTGTGAGTCATAGAGCGAGCTCTGCTGGCCTAGTGAATAGAAAGTTATGCTACTAAGTCAAAGGAGGGTGATTTTAATCTGCGGCCCTCGGGCCTGGTTTTAATTGTTTTTGGTCAAACATTCTTTTAAGTGGTATAGCACTGATCTGTGTTAATTTGCTGTCTAGAGATAACTCATGGTTGCTGTGATGCTAAACACTGTGACACTGATGTGTCAAATGTGATAATAGGGCAATGGGTTTTTGGGTTTTTTTTATTTTATTATTTTGTGTGTGTGTGTGTGTGTGTGTGTACTGTCAAATCAGATCTGACTGGTACAGGAGGAGATTGTTTCTCCTTCTCCAGCAGAGCATCTGGTGGATTTGAACCGTGCACCTCTGAGATTGCAGTATACCTTCTTGCCACTAGGCCACCAGAGCTCACCTCAAATGTGATAATAGTTACCCATGGTAGACAGTGTATGGTGGAGCTCCCAGATTAAAGCAGGCTTGGAAGCAGGAGTGGCATCCACTTCCAAAACAGCTTGCCTCCAGTAACTCTTACGAACTTAGAGAAACAATGGAAGTTATAAAAGTATTTTGTTCATAGGGTCGCTGTGAGTCATCCACAACTTGAGGGCACTTCACAGCAACAGCTAGTCAGTCCACCAGGGAGGTGTTTCCAGGCATAGACTCGTGAGCACTTCCAAGGCTGTTGGCTGAAACTTGTCTATTGGTATCTTGTCAGTTCCTAGGGCCTTATTTTTTTGCCCATGCCTTCAGTGCAGCTTGAACTTCTTTCCTCATGACCATTGGTTCTAGATCATATGACTTCCTGAAATATTTCAGTGTTGGTCAGTGCTTTTTAGTTCAGCGATTCAGTATATTACCTCCATCTCCTTTTGATGCTTGGAGGATCATTCAAGATTTTTCCCATAACATCTCTCAGTATTGCAACTTGAGGCTTGAACTTGTTTAGTTCTTTCAACTTGCGAAATGCCAAGTGAGTGAATAATCTAGATGTGGATATTAAGGCCATGGTGATGTCTCTGCTGATGTTGCGTCTGCACACAGGCCTGAAGGCCGCAGGTTCCTGCTCCAACTTAAGAGGCCAGACAACAGTGGACAGACAGGTTTCAAAGGTGAACAGTAACACCAGGAAGTCTTCTACTTCTCATTCGAGTTTGCCTATTCCCTGGAAAACAATCGCAGAACTCAGCAAAAGTCCTTTTCAGATTATACCTCTAGATCAGCCAAAGAAGATATAAAAGAAAGCCCTAAGGCAGGTCAGAGGGTCCCCAGATTATAGCTTCCGTAGATATTCCAAAATGAGAGGGGCAGTTTGTTGCCATCCCACTTGTGATAGGCCTGGGATCCCATGGAGCTTTTGAGTCCAGAACTTTATATCATTCCATTGTTTTGATTGATTGGATTGGCTCCTCCCTCTGCTGAAGTCAAGTGGAGTTTGCAAAAAAATGATGTTTCCTTACTGTCCTTGATACCCATCTGCATTTATGTTGAGATTTGTGAGTGAAAGAGTCCCTTGAAAAGTTTGTGTTTTGTTCAAATACTCACAATAAATAAAATTATAGTAACTGAATTTCTTATGTATTAGTATCATTAGAGCTGGTATGGCCCATCTTTCAGTGCTGTGACTCTTCAGAAAATCTCCCGACAGCTCATGGTGGCAGGCTTCTCCACATTGTATGGAGAAGAGTGGAAGGTCTGTGATTTGATCAATGACAGACAAGAGGACGTGTAGGGAGCCCTAGGACAGCCTGGCCAGCACAGCTAGGGAAAAGGAGAAGAGGTAGTTTTCAACTGGCCACCTATGCCCACATTTAGATGTTTTCCCTGTCACACTTTATTGCAAAGCCAGTTAGAAGCTTATCGAGAAGACTTATGCGAGAACTGTGTTCTCTAAAAAGTTATGATTCAAGATCTTAGGTATAGACTGTTTAGAATCACAAAGTAAACTCTGTTCACGGAAAGTATTGATGGTGAAACTGCTTTGTATTGATGCGTGTGTTATTCTAGGAACTTATTACGTATGAAGATGTGATAGTAGACTTCACCGAGGCAGAATGGAAGACCCTGAGCTCCGAGCAGAAGAACCTGTACAAAGATGTGATGCTAGAGATGTTTAGAAATCTTCTGTCCTTGGGTGAGTATGCACGCCTTTCCCTTTCTTTCATTCACTCCATGTTTTGGCCCACTACTATTTGTCAGGGGAGTCCCGCAAGTCCAGTGGTTATGCACCAGGTCGCAAAGAAGAAGATGGGCATTTTGACCTTTCAACCAATCTAATAGAAGGTGAAATCCATTCCTGTAAACATGTGCAGCTTTGAAATTTCTGTTCGTTAGTTGTGCTGTGTCATGTGGTATTGTAGGAGAATTGACTCTAGCAATATTGTTTTCTCCATGCCAAAGTCCCTATGTGTTGAAACCAGTCTCCCTGGAAATGGTTAACTCAGATGTTAACCTGCGCACCGATGTCTTAATAACAACCAGTTCCATGCAAGATCTCAACCTGCACAGTGCAGAGGAATTGAGAGAGTTGACATGAACTGAGAAGGGGGGCCTTCAATGACTTGCTTTCTGATTGTAATCCTTAGTTATAGCCTGGTTCGTTTGGTCTCAAGTTGTACTGTTTTCCTTCCTCATACAACCATTTCACTGTGAGGGTCATGTATGGTCTTTGCAATGTTAGTCTTGTCTGCATGAGACAGTAGGAAGTGACGTAGAGATAATCAGTGACGTGAAAGCTGGCACTTAGGGCAAGTGGAGGTCTCGTGGACCTTCATTCACCTCGTAGGAATCAGCTTTAGGCTGATCCAACGATTTTTCTCCCTTAAGTTGCATGGGTTCTGATGCCGCCCTTGTACCATTTCAGATGTAGACACTCCTCCATTTGTGTCTGCCAGGCTCAGGGATTTTAAGTCTTCCTTTGCCTGTTGATATTTGGAAAATTGACAGCTTATTTTCAGAGATCTCACAAACAGATATTTCTTTGCAAATTCTTAAATGATATGAGTAGGCTCTACCAATGTGCCTTTGACTTAGATTCTTTTAGTAGAAAGGCTAAGTTTTTTAGGTATTCTTTCCAAGGCAGAATGAGACCTGAGTGAAAAGTTCCTAGAGAGATTTGTGTTGTAAATTACCCCGATTATATTATACAGTTTCATTGCTATTGCCTTTATTTCTGCCTACAGCTACCATGTAGAACAGGCTGCCTTGGAATCAGACGCTACGCATTTCTTCTAGTGTTAGGTTGTAGATTTGTACCACCAACCTTCTCATTAGCATTCAAACACTTGAAAGGTTGCACCGTCAAGGATTTGTTCTGGTTTGTAGTAGAAAGTGTAACTTGCAAAACTGGGTTGTAAATAATCATTCATTGGAAACAACTTGTGCTCCCTAAATATTCCCAAGTGGGGAAATAAGAATGTTTTATTTCTGATCAGTTCAATAAGGACTTTTGGGACCCAAGTGTGCAAAGTTGTTTTTAGGTGCTGTTAAGTCTAGTACTACTCATAGTGACACTGTGAAAAAAGATCTGAACCCTGTTCTATCCTGCACCATCCTCACACTTGTCAACACACGAGAGCCCATGACAGCAGTCACTGTGTCAGACCACCTAGTTGAGGGTCTTTTTCTCCTTCGCTGGCCCTCCAATGTCCTGTCCTCCTCCAAGGAACAGCCCCTCCTAGCAACATGCCCAAAGTATGTGAGGCGAAGTCATTCCTGCCTCCAAAAACACTCTGGTTGCACCCTCTCCAAGACCTATGTTTGTTCTCTTAGTTGTCCATGGGGTGTTCAGTGCTCTTCTCCAACACCACAGCTCAAAGGCATCAATTTTTTTGTCTTTCAACCTTATTCATGCACTGTCCAGCTCTCAGATGCATAGCAAGTAGTTGAAAAGACCATGGCCTGAATCAGACACACCTTAGTCCTCAAACTGATATCATTACTTTTCAATAATTTGGAGAGGCCCCTAACTGCAGGTTTTCCTAGTGCAGTGTGTCGTCTTATTTCCTGACTGCTGGTATAGAAGTACTTTGTAGGATGATGATAAAGGCATTAACATATTGGATCACTAGGTCTGCCCTACAAACAGCCCTTCCTGCTAGTGTCAGGCACTGAACTGTGCCAGTCGGACTTAGAGGTAAGGGGCTGCCTGTCCTAAGAGCAGTTACGTCGTCCAGGCAGGGCTCATTCCAGCTGCTCTAATGGAAAACTTTCTTTCTTTAGCAGAAGCAAAGCTACAGAATTCCTGTTCCTCTTGCCTTCTGGGTTTCTGCTGTCACCAGTTCCTTAGCCAACATGTGCTACAGATGTTCCCCAGACTATGTGCAGAACATAATTTCTACCCAGCGGGGTTCAACACAGTGCTTCAGAAGCAGCACAGAGAGCAGGATTCTGCTGAGAGATGTTTGAGAGAAAACACAGAAGCTCAAAAGAGAGAAGTCTTTAAACCTTTGCATGGGGAGTCAGACGAAACACAAACTTCAGGCACATTTTCCAGCCTGTTCACAAGACAGTCAGCAAGCCCTGAGGAGGATGGCTCAGGGAGAGGCCTAGAGTCCATCTCAGCCCAAAGGGTGAACTCCATGGAAAAAGACGGAAGGTGGAAGGAGTCAGACACCTCAGAATTTAGAGTAGTCACATACAGAGATGATTCTCCAGACTGTGACCTGAGCTTAGATTTCAACACTAGTGAAACACCCTTCATCCAGGAGACACACTTTGTTTCCAAGGAGGATTTGCAAAGTTTTGCCCAAGAGACATATCTCCTCAGTCACTGGAGGACACATTCAGTAGAGAAGCCTTACGTTTGCATGGAATGTGGGCAAGCCTTTAGCGTGAAGTCATATTTCATCAGACACCAGAGGACACACTCAGGGGAGAAACCTTACGTTTGCACGGAGTGTGGGCAAAGATTTACCCGCAAGTCATCTCTCCTTACACATCAGAGGAGACACTCAGGCGAGAAGCCTTATATTTGCAAGGAGTGTGGTCGAGGCTTTACACAGAAATCCGTTCTCATCAGACATCAGAGAACACACCCAGGGGAGAACCCTTATATCTGCAACGAGTGTGGACATTCCTTTACCTGCAAGGCAAATCTTATTACCCATCAGAGAACACACTCCGGGGAGAAGCCTTATGCCTGCCAGGAGTGTGAACAAAGGTTTGCCTGCATTTCCACTCTCCTTAGACATCAGAGGAGACACTCTGGGGAGAAGCCTTATGCCTGCAAGGAATGTGGGCAAAGGTTTACCTGGCATTCAACTCTTATTGCCCACGAGAGGAGACACTCGGGCGAGAAACCTTATGTTTGTGAGGAGTGTGGGAAAAGCTATGCTATGAAGTCTCATTTCATTACACACCAGAGAACACACACAGCGGAAAAACCGTATGTGTGTACGGAGTGTGGGGAAAGCTATGCCATGAAGTCTTACCTCATCAGACACCAGAGGACACACTCTGACGAGAAGCCTTTTGTGTGTAATGAATGTGGGAGAGGCTTTACGTGTAAATCAACGCTCATCAGACATCAGAGGATACACTCGGGGGAGAAACCTTACGTTTGCAAGGTGTGCGGGCAAAGGTTTACCTGGAATTCAACTCTGATTGCGCACGAGTGGAGACACTCAAGGGATAAGACTTATGTGTGCAAGGATTGTGGGCAAAGCTATGCCATGAAGTCTTATCTCATCAGACACCAAAGGACACACTCAGGTGAGAAGCCTTATCTTTGCATGGAGTGTGGGAAAAGTTTTGCCTGTAAGTCAGCTGTCATCATCCATCAGAGGATACACTCCGGGGAGAAGCCTTACGTTTGTGAGGAGTGTGGGAGGAGCTTTACGTGTAAGTCAACTCTTATCAGACATCAGAGGACACACTCAGGGGAAAAGCCTTATGTTTGCAAGGAGTGTGGACAAAGGTTTACCTGGAGTTCAACTCTCATTGCACACCAGTGGGTACACTCAGGTGAGAAGCCCTTTATTTGCAAGGACTGTGGGCAGGCATTTACCCGGAAGACATATCTCGTCAATCACCAGAGGATCCACGCAGGGGAGATGACTTTTATTTACAAGGAGTAAGGGGTAAGGCTTTACCTAAAAATGAATTCTTCATGCTTTTACCGAGTGTGAACAAAGCTATACCCAGAAGGCACATCTCATTGCACACCAGAGGTCACACTCAAGGGAAAAGACTAAGATTTGCAAGGGAGGGGCTTTACCCAGAAATAATCTCTTCACCCATCAGACAGAGGGCACTTGGGAGAAGCCTTAGGGTGGCAAGGATTGTGGGCATGGCATTATTCAAATATCAAATCTCATCCAGACATTAGAGGAGACCCTCAAGTTTAAAAAGCTTTTGTTTCCCTAGCATACCTGGGGGATACCCAGAAGAATTGTAATTTCTTCATATAATATAGATAAAACTCCTTTCTCATGATTTTCATGCATTTTCTCCTGTTGTGTGTATTGTCGTTTCATTCTAAAGAGTGCCCTTGAATTACAAAACTTTTATTTCATAAAGTCAAATACATTTTTTTTCTTTTATTGCTTATTTTTTGGTATCATTTCAAAGAATCCAGTGCCTAAATTAAGGTCACTAAGATTTAACCTGAACATCTTTTTCTTCTAAGACCTTTAGAATTAGCTCTGACATAGAAGTCTGTTCATTTTCTTTTTTTTTACTTTTTAAAAAAATTTTTTTATTAAATTATTTTCTCCCCTTGTTATGTACCGTCGAATCAGATCCGACTGGCACAGGAGGAGATTTTTCCTCCTTCTCCAGCGGAACATCTAGTGGATTCGAAACAGGCACCTTTGGGATTGCAGCATAGCTTCTTGCCATAGGCCTCCAGAGCTCCCTTGTTGTTCATTTTCAGTTGGTAAATGATGTCAGGTAGACTAGTTCAGCGTCCTTCTGCCGACCAGGGGCACGCTGAGAATGCAGGGCAGTTCCATCAGCTCAGAAATGGAGTCACCTGACAAGTAGACCATAGAAGTACAACTAAATGAGTCATCATATGTTGTCTCCAAAATCCAATGAGGCTTAGCCTCCTTTTCCATTTTAGCAGGGACCAGATGCAATAAATTGTATCTTACTTTAGATGGACTATCTAGACATTCCCCACATCACTACAACCTCGGCAATTTCTCCGAGGTTGAAGTGGATTATTCACCACTGTCTAGCCTGCATCTTTCTTACCCAAAGATCTGGTTTACCTCTTAATACATCCTGATTCTGTGCAGTCAGCTTGATGTCATCAATGTAATGGAGTAGTAATGGGCATTTGGTGGGACAGAGAGAGCATCAAGATCCTTGCAGAGTAAACGACTACATGGTGCTGGAGATTGGACACACCTCTGAGGTTGCCTAGTGCAGGTGTATGTTTGTCTTTTCAAGCTGAAAGTACTTTGACATTTCAAGCTGTTGGTCTTTTGAAACTGCACTGGACGCAGATACCGAGTAGCTGCATACCAGGTGTCAGGAGATCCATGAATTTACTTTAAAGCAATGATAAACAGTTCTGGTGTGTTCTATATGACTTTTTTCATACCATCATAACCATTACTCCATATTTTACAATCATAATCAGTGAAATTTCTCAGCTAGAGTCCTAGACCTCTTGATTTGATCCACATTCCAAATAACACTGTTCTTTTTTTTTTAATTTTTTTTTAAATTATTTTGTGTGTGTGTGTACCGTCAAATCAGATTTGACTGGTACAGGAGGAGATTGTTCCTCCTTCTCCAGCAAAGCATCACCACTCTTCTCTTTGTAAGTCAAGCCCAGTCCCTCTTTTTTGTTGAAATACTTTGATTAAACCTATTACAACAGTATTTGGTTGAAAGTATTTTTTGACTAGTACCACCTAAAAAGTAAAACTTAATGTGTACCAAGGCACTTCTGCAAAAGAGTAAAAAGGAAAAGCTACAGAGTGGGAAGAAAAATTTCTAGCAGTGGCACAACTGACAGATTAGTCTCTAAAATTTATTGAACACTAATAACATGGTAACACTGGTGGCCGAGTGGCAAAACACTTCACCGCAATCCCAAATGCACACTGTTAGAACTCAACTGCTCCATGGGAGAAGGTTGGACAGTGTGCTCCCAGGCAGTTCACTGCTTCTGAAAAGCCACTGGAGGGTCAGGTATGAGAAAGGCAAACGTCTCAATTACAAAGTAGGTGAAGCACATGACTAAACAGTTGAGCTAAGGCAACAATGATGGCCAGTAAATATGACAAAATTCATTAGATCTTCAGCTGTTAGTTTCCAGTCAAAACAACAATGAGTTGTTTCATGCTGGGTGAAAGAAAAAAGTTTAAAAAGATGGCAAAGAACAAATGCTGGCAGGGTGTAGAGCCAAGCAAACTATTGGACACTGTGTTTATGGGAATGTGAAGTGATACATTCAGTGAGGACAGCAATTTGGTGCTTCCATAGAAAGTTGGGAAAAGGAGTTGTATGAAATCCAGCATCCTACTATGCATATAACCCAGATATAAAAACTGTAACAGACATCTTGACACTCCTATTTATTGCAGCATTATTTACCCTAGTGAAAATTTGGAAACAACCCAAATCTCCATGAATTGAAGAACAGCTAAATAAACTATTGCACAGTCCTCCACTGATGTGTTACCAAAAATGATCAAGAATCGGTGACATACAGTAGAGCATGGATTTTGCTAGAACAACTTACGCTGAATGACTTAGATTAGACACAACTGGCCAACTATAGTGCCACAATAAATAAATGAATGAATGAACGAGCGAACAAAGGAAGGAAGGGAGGGAAAGAAGGAAGGAAGGAGGGAGGGAGGGAAGGAAGGAAAAGAAGAAAAGAAAGAATGGACGGATCTAGTGGACCATGGGCTTGAGCATGATGGATCATGAGACTAGAACAGGATTGTGTAAGGTTCAGGTGACTGGACAGCACCTAACAACAGCAACTAGGAAATGTTTACATACAGACAGGCTGAGTCTTGGAGAGGTCAATGAATCAGAAGGGAGAAAAGTTGGTAATAAAGATTTGTGAAGAGAAAGGCATTATGCTTCGTTCTCTGTTCTCCTTATCTCATTACCACTCAATTGGTACTAGCTTATAACCGACCTTCAAGAGGGTTTTTAGAGGTTATAAATGCCACAGGAGGAGGTTGCTCAGCTTGCTTCTGTGGAGACGCTGGTGGATTTCAACCACGAGAAACAGTAGTTTCGTGGTGTTCTGCGTACAGCCTAGGCTACCAGAGAGCCATATATGAGTGGTGGTTTTCAATGCCGTGGAGTTCAGTATGAGTGATAATGACCCTTTGTACAGCAGACCTAAACCTTGTGCTGACTTGCACCATCTTCACACCATCCTCACCCTCATTCTGTCATGCCTGAGCCCATTGTAGTCTTTGCTGTGTCAGTCCGTCTCATTGAAAGTTGTCTTCTCTGGCTGACTCCACTTTCCCAGTATGCTATTTCTGAAAAACAAAAACAAAAACCCACACTGGTTCCTCCTGAAACTACACCCAAATAGATTTCACTGTCTTTACTACTAAGACATACGCTGGTTGCACTTTTTTTCAAGCCAGATTTATTTGTTTTGGCAGTCCTTGATATATTCAGTAATCTGCCAACACCATGGTTTTAAGCCATCAATACATCTTTGGTCTTCCTTATTCATGATCCAACTTTCAGACACAGGGTACATTTGAAAACACCATGACTTGGATCATGACTTGGACTTCAACTTTAAACTAGGCTCTTCTGTCTTGATTCTTTGGAAGAGGTCCTTGACAACAGATTTCCCCAATACAACATTCCTTGACGTTGCTTCCATAGTGGTGACTGTAGATCTAAATAAAATTAAATCACAATTTCAGTCTTTTCTCCATCTACCACGATGGCCCAGCAATATTTTTTGTTTACTTCGATATTGCCATATAATCCATGTTGAAGGCTTTAATCCTTGATCTTGTGCATCAAGTATTTCAAGTATCTTTCCAGATAGAGCTGTGACAGGAGGGATATCATTGCTGATAGCAGATGGATCTTGGCCGAAAGCTGAGAATCCCCAAACGATAATTAACCTGTGTTTTCCTGATCACGCGAAGACATTTGATTGTATGGAACAGAAGTTATGGTTAGCACCGAGGAGAGTGCAAATCACAGAACACTTAACTGTGCTCATACAAAACCTAGACCAAGATGCAGCTGTCTCAACAGGATAAGAGAACATTTCATCATTTTAAACTAGAGTTGTTTATCAGGGCCATGTCTCTTAGCCATACCTACCTGTTTTTTCAGTATTACTCCATACCCATTCAGTCTGTATGCTGAGCAAATAATCTGAAGAAGAATGTGATAACAACCTGCTTTATGTAGAGGACGACTTGGTTATATATTGTAGCAAAGTAAATACATTAATCACTCACTTGTTAGTACTATTAGAAATCAAATGTCTATGAAAGTAAAATGAAAATTATCAGCTTAAGTTAAATTTTATTGTTGCATGATTTCATTACTATAAATATACAGTAAAAACAAAAAAAAAATCTAGGCAGAGTACATCAAGTGATAGCATAAATCAACCCAAAATGGCCCGACTGCAGCTGCCCTCCACACCGTGCCAACTCTGACCTGCTGACAGGGGATGGGGGACCGTGAGCGGGGGAGGCAGAGCTCCGGAATGCGAGTGCACAGCTAGGGTCCCTTGAACCCCCAGAGATACAAAGCGAGGGCCAGCCAGTCCAGTCCCTGGGAAAGACAGAAGGAATTTTAAGGGTTTTTTTTGTTTGTATTTATTTTTATGTGTACCATCAAATCAGATCTGACTGGTACAGGAGGAGATTGCCCCCTCCTTCTCCAGCAGAGCATCTGGTGGATTTGAACCGCATACCTCTGGGATTGCAGTGCAGTGTCTTGCCACTAGGCCACCAGAACTCCCTAAAGATTCTTTTTTATTATTATTATTATTATTATTATTATTATTATTATTATTATTATTATTATTATTATTATTTGTGTGTGTGCGTGTACCGTCAAATCAGATCTGACTGGTACAGGAGGAGATTGTCCCTCCTTCCGCGGTGAA